GGGTGTTTGGGGGGGACCCGATGGATAGGCCCTCGTCAGAGTTAAACAACAAAAGCAATCTGAAGCTCCTATGTTTAATAGTTTTTGAGTTACGTATACAAGCATTTTTGCATGTCCATACACCCCCACTTTGAAAGGAGCCCCCTCCTCAAATATGGGGTGTATCGTAAAACTGTTGGCTGGCGCAGTGTAGGTCAGACTCATCTACAGCCCTGCCAAATTTCATGTTGACCAGTGCAGCCGTTTTTGTGCTACGGCTGACTAAAAATCACTGAAAAAAAAGGAAGAAAAATAAACAGTACGAAAAAAATATGACTCCTGCTTACTCTTCGCGTAAGGGGGTCATAATAAATAAAAACCGTAATAAAATGAAAAAACGATAACTGACTAAAACTGTATATTCTTTTTACAAAACTAACTAAAAGTAACCGAAATTATACACAGAATATTCTTAGTTTTAGTGTTTGTCAATTTATTTTGAGCTGTGTGGATAGATTAAACTAATCTTTTTTTCCTTCAAATTAAGCAGTTTCACATTAACTGTAACTTACGGCACATCATGGTCCGTAACGTCACCTGTTTACAGTCTGCTACTGCTCCTCATCACCTGCAAAATGACGACAACAAAAGTTGGGAGAAAATAGTAAAGTCCGATTTGGGATTTCTTTGAATATGACTGTGAGAAAATTAAAAGCGTCTTGTAGTGGAAACAGGTAATAAAACAGGTGGAATGTTTCTCAAGGGAAAAACTGCATGAATGAAGCTCACCCAAGATGCTAACTGTCACTATCTCACGYTAGCTTCTCTCAGTAGCTCCAGTGTAAACAAGCTACAGGTAGCACCAGGTTGGAAACAACTATTATCATCGTCCTAAAATAATCACCCAAGTTTTTAGTTGGCAAAATTGAGTTACACGATTATTTTAGGAAGGTGTTGCTTTAATGGACTGCTTTAGAGACCAAATAGCTGTTGGTTAGTTAACTCACAGGAACATCACAAGCTGGAGGATGCATTGGCAAAAATGTTTGTTCAAACTATAAAAAACTACTAGAACTAATAAAAACTAAACTAAAACTAAGCATTAAACATGCAATAATAACTAATAAAAATTAGCAAATCCACTGTAAAAACTTATTAAAACTAACTGAATTAAAAGGAAAAAGTCACAATGAAAATACTAAACTTTAATGAAAAATCCAAAACAGTAACCTTGGTACTGACCCAGTTTAGCCATGAAAGTGATCCACAGCTGGCCGGTGTTCTGGTAGACAGGGTGCAAAGTTCCTGCATCCCCCTCCTCCAACTGAGACACCTGCCTCCTACACACACACACACCACACACACACCACACACACACACACACACAC